AGTTCTGAACACTGAGATTGTCCTTAGATGTTGACAAAAGTCCCTGGGGGAAAATCATCCTCCTTGAAATTATTGATTTTGTTATGTTCGGCTTCATCTGCCTAGTGCTACTTTGCAATCGTATCTGGAAGAAAGAATTGATATATCTGAGATCATTTTGCTGTTTTAAAAGAACACAGAGTAAATGAAAATTTCATTCCAGAATAAAATAAATATGATCTTTCCCTTCAGTGTAGAATTATGAATCGTTTGTTATTAAAGCTTGTTTCTCTTCCAGACAAGCACAACACAGTAATTTCCATTTATTATGAAAAATAAATGAATTTCTCATTCTTCAAGCCATTTTTATTCCGTATTCTGTGATAGCCTTTGCTTTTGCCAATGATTGTTATGAATTAAATAATATGTTAGAGCAGCAAAGTAAATGAAAGAATGAAATGAGAACTAATCATGTATACTGCAGTTTGCTGAGAGATGGTTATTTTGAAAAATTTGTTGTGATTATATGTGTCCATTATTTAAAATTAAAAATACAGAAATGTATAAAGGAGTATAATTACCCTCATCCTGCAATTTGTAATAGATAACCATTTTGTATTTGCTGCTTATCTTTTACTCTAAGGCAATATACAGATGTGCATGTGATCAGCCTATATATGAGTTCTGTTTTGTGGAAAGATTATACTATACATCTGATCCTTGTGTGGGTGTGTGTATTGTATAAATTCAGTGCACCGTTTTTCTTACAATATATCATGCGCCATTTTTCATGTCTATATTATACAGCTTTATCAAAATTTTAGAGTGCCATTACATTACTTTGTGCACTAAGAGTTTAACCAATTATTTTTAAAATCTAAATAGATTGTTTTCATATTAATAATTATGTAGACAGCCTCACTGTGAGTTTGTACATACATCTGACATAATTATATCATTTTGTTTGATGAGGAATTTAATTCTAAAGTAAATGAACTGTCTAAACAGTGTACTAATCTCTGTTTAATTTGTATTATAGTATTTTCTTTAAATAACCGTACTAGTTTTTACTCACACTGGTATTAAAAGGAATTATAATTTCTTTTACTTTTACTGTCATCCAGTATATATTAATAATATGTGTTCTTTGTGACTATTCATTTCAAGTTCTTTGCCCATCTATCTACTGAAGCGATCTATAGTTCATTTTTATTAACATGTTCTTGCAATAGTCTAAGAATGAGTGCTTTTTATCCATTATATATATGGCAAATAATTTTCCTATGTTATTGTCTTCTATTTTTTCTAGTTTTCTAGTATACACATATATTTCATATTTTATTTTTATATTCACCTTTTCAGACTAAGAATATAAATATAACAATTTTCTACTATTTAATTTTTTTATACAGCATTTACTCTATTGTAATTTTTTTTGAGGCACAGTCTTAAAATGCAGTTTAAGCAGGCCTTGAACTTACTATGTACCCCAGGCTGCCCTGTCTCAGCCTCCTCAGTGCTTATGGGTCTGTGCCACCACATTCAACTTTCTATTGTGAATTTTGTTTTTCTCCCACTGATCTATTAGGCAGCCTACTTTTGTTCCTGACAAATGCAAATATTGTTATAGTTGTTTTCCATTTCTAAATTTTAAAGTGCAGAGTAATTCGTCTTAAAACTTCAAATAATACTTACCTGAAAATTCCTCTTTAGTACCATCCCTTTTGTTAAAATTTCTTTCATATATTTCATTGCATTGCATAACAGAGATATGTTGCATCTCCTCTTTGTAACAATCAGATCTATCCTAGCAGTGATGTGGTCTACTTAAGTCACGACCTGACTGTAATCTTAGCTGCATTGTAGGGGAAAGAGCTCGAGGGACCCTCCAGTTACACTCAGTCTGTGGTTGCTCCTTGTGTTCTGGGACTGTTCAGCAAGCAGAGGTTAACAAAAGCCATCTATGATATTTTATAGTAACACTGACCAAAAATATAACTGTGTATTTTTTCCCCATTTTATTGAGCTGTGATTGACAATTAAAATATATTTAAGGTGTACAGTATGATATTTTTATATGAATTGTGAAATGATTACCACAAGCTAATTAATAATATATTCATTAACTGGCATAGAATGTGACTTTTATAATCATTTTTACTTTTATTCTCTTTCTCTGTGGGTAATGATGCTTTTAGGTTACAAAACACTTTTGATTCTGGAATTTAATCTCATATATGAAATTTTCCTCAGGCAAATATTCCATAAACATTTAATTGGGAAATTGATAAGATACTCTGTCACCTTCTTTGAAACTATATCTCATCCTCATCTATTCATTACCATTCTGTTTTGTAGAGCTGTATGGTATATCAAGAATCATTCTGCATATTCTAGAAAGTAATGGATTACTACTAACATTTTTATAACATAGGCCTAAAGAGATTGTGATATACTCAAATCACCCAGTAGATGGTAAGGAAAGGAGATACCCAGCATTCATAGCCAATTTCACTCATAATCTAACAGAAAGGAACATCTTTCATAATATATTATCTCTTTAATGTAAGAAAATAACATTAGATTCTATTTCTAAAATATAATACAGATATAACCTCATTAAAATAATTTAGATTATTAAAAATAGAGAGCTAATATCTAGACTATATGAGGAACTCAAAAAAATTAGACCCCCTTAATTTAAAGACCCCATCCAAAAATAGACATCTGAAATGAATAGACACTTCTCAAATGAAAAAGTACAAATGGCCAATAAATACATGCAAAAATGTTCAGCATCACTGATCATTCAAGAAATGCAAATTAAAACAACCCTGAGATTTCCTCTCACTCCAGAAAGAATATCTATCATTAAGAAATCAACCAATAAAAAATGTTGGCGAGACTGTGAGGAAAAAGGACCCCTTCTCCACTGTTGGTGGGAATGTAAATTGGTGCAACCACTATGGAAACCAGTAGGCGATTCTTCAAAAAACTAAAACTAGAAGGTACATTTGACCCAGCTGTTCCATTCTAGGTATCTTCCCACAAGAGTTAAAATCATTATACCAGCCGAGGATTTAGCTCAGTGGTTCCGCTGCCTGCCTCACAAGCACAAGGGCCCGAGTTAGATCCCCGGCAAAAAAAAAAAAAAAAAAATCATTATACCACAGTGATATGTGTATACCCATGTTTATAGCAGCACAATTTATAATAGCTAAATCTAGGAAACAGCCCATGTGCCCATCAACAGATAAATGGATATGGAAAATGTGTATTTATATACAATGGAGTACAACTCTCCCATAAAGAAGGATAAACTTGATGAATTTTTAGATAGATAGATGCACCTTGAGACAATAATGTGAAGAGAAATAAATCAGACGCACAAGTTTAAATATCACATAGTATCAACACAAAGTATAAATAAGGAACAAAAGCCAGGCTAAATATTAGGAAGCAGTAAGATCTTTTTCAAATGGGAAGGGAACAATAGATCAGGGGAGGGAGGAAAAGGAATTTTAAGAAAAAAACTGAAGGAAAAATTGGAAATAGAACTTTTACAAATGGAAAGGAAGGTTGGAAAGAGGGAAGGAAGGGGAAGGGGAAAAAAGAATTAAGATGTATTACATACATGTACAAATTTCCCATGTGAATGTGATCCTTACGTACTGCAAACGTGTACTAATAAAAAGAAAAACGCTAGAGAGGATTCCCAGCATCTAGGAGGCTGAGGAAGAAGTATCTGAGGATCAGACCCAGCCTGATCCTTAGCAAGATCCTGTCTCAAAATAGAGAAGAAAATTAGAAAGAGCTGCGGATATAGATCAGTGCAAAGACCCTGGGTTCAATCTCCAATATAATGCCTCCCCCCAAAAAAAATCTTAGGAAAAACTAAACTGTAATTTGAATATAGACTTGATCCCCACTTACAAATTTTTGGAGAGGTGGGAGCCACCTGAAATTTTAAATTCTCCAGTTAACTGCTAAACACAATAAACTTTGAAAATCATGTCCAAAATATTTACTTATATGTTTAGATTTTTTTGCTGTCTTTTAAAATTAATTTTGTTGGTACACATTAATCATAGGGAATTTGTACCTGTACATAATATATCTTGATTCTTTCCCCCCCCATTCCTGTCCCCCCTTCAGCACTTCTTTGCCTCCTTATTTACAAAAACTTTGTTTCCATATATTTAAATTTAAAAGCTGTGCTAATCATGACAACATAAAATAAGTTGATTTTGAATTTCACTTTGAAGATAGATAGAACTGTAAAAGTTCCATTTTCCCCTAATATAAAGCACAATTTAGAAAAAAAAATTTTCTTGCACATGTGACTACTTGAATAAAATTTCGAATGTTCTACTTAACTAGATACACTTATGTAAGCAGTTAACCATTTATAAACAGATACAGTGTTTGAACTATTTCATATCTGTTTCATAGCAACATAACTTTTGCTAATCCATTTTTTTAAATATTGGGAAGTTCTATCAAAATACAAACCTTACTATGACACTATTATTGAAGTCTCATTTTTCACATGATTATTTATTCTAAAATAGCTTTCCTGTTAGATGCCTAATTTCAACCACCCTGTTTGTATTGTATTGATACTCATAACTGGAAATTAAACAGTTAGAGTGAATTTCATCAGACTTTTATGTATACAGGAGAGTAATACTAATGAATACATTTTCAAGATTAAAAATGTGCCAGTTATGTAAAAGAATTGTAAATTTAAAAATCCACCTTAAAGTTATTTTAAAAATTATACCCCCACATAAGTCTTGTCTTAAAAACAAAAATATATATATATTCTTAATTGCATAGATTCAATCAAATTAAAATAAGAATGCAACTTTATCAAAATAGCTAAAAAATTCAGGACACATTAATAGTATTTTATTAGTGAATGTAGGATAATTAACATTAAACCTAAGTTTTTTTTTAGTACATCTGTTTCCTGATTCTTAATTTGGTAAGTAATCTGTCTTGTATTTTTTCTTTGATAGGTTTATGCAGGCAAAGATCTAGAAGAGCAGTTGCGGTCTGTGTCAAGCGTCGATGAACTCATGTCTGTACTCTACCCAGAATATTGGAAAATGTACAAGTGTCAGTTAAGGAAAGGAGGCTGGCAATACAATAAAGAACAGCCCAACCTCAACACGAGGACAGAAGAGACTATAAAATTTGCTGCAGCTCATTATAATGCAGAAATCCTGAAAAGTAAGTACCAGACAGAAAATGTGTAATAAGTCTCATATGTCAATCCAGTGAAAGTCGCCAGCATTTGTGCCACTCAATATAACTTAAGGCCTAAAAATAAAGAAAATGGTAATACCTTGGTTTCAAAATACATTTTGTGATTTAATTCTGAGTGTTGATGATTTTTTAAAACACAAAGAAAGGTGCATGCATATCAATGCAAGTATCTTTTAAATTGAAGTAACTTCCCATTGTAAAATTAAAAAAACATATAAATATATTTTACACATTAGGTTAAATGTTCTTTTCAATATATATTCCCATTCACAGGCCAATTTAATTGTTTAAATGTTGTGTATCTACAAAATATTTCTATATAAATTTTCTTTCTAATCTGGATTTACAAATGCTTAAATTATCTCAAAACAAACCTAGATCGCTTTTGCCAGTGCTAATTGTTGACTTGCTGCTCACAGAAAACTACTTCAGAGCTGTACTTTTGTAAAGTTGATGAAATATCTAGCATAAAATTTCACAGAATTTATGATGTTAAATGAACTATAAGTTGGTGGGCTAATTTTAAAAATAATTCTCTTTAGTTATTAGATATTACTGTAAAGGAGTGATATTACAATGAAGTTTAAAAGCAAAAAAAAATGGCTTTGTGGTTAATAAGCAATAGTTTATATCCTTTATTTTCCAACAATTTATGTTAGAGGAAATATGGGAGAAATAAACTACAACATTTAGGAAGTACAACATTTGTAATGCAGGAAAGAGTCAAGAATGTCATAGATAATCCACTAACCCACTATAAACAGGATTCCAAGAGAAAGCATGAAGAGATAGGAAATTTGATTTTCCTGAAAAGAGTTAGTGCAGGATACAAGGTCTTGATGGGTGGAAAATTGCCTTGCACATCACTTAGCTACTGCCATGACATTATCCAAAGTCGCCAAATAGCCTGCTTGAAAATGATTTTTGAGTTGAGTCCAAAACCATTGTCATCTTTTCTCATTTACATCTCAGTTTAAAATAAGAATGAAACCATATTATACATTTGCTTCAAAACAAGAAAACACTGCACACTGTAGCAAATGAGTGTGACTCTATTTCTACACATCTTGTAAACATCCATATGTTAAATCGCCATTTTCTAAAGTAAGAAAAACCAAGCATAAGTGCTGCGGGAGAGTGGTTTACTCTTTAAAAGCTTAATCCTAATTATTTAGCTTTTTATGTAGCTACAGAAATGAGTTTTTCAAGAAAAAAATCCTTAACTGTTCTTTTAAATATATATTCCTATTCACAGGCCAATTTAGGATCCTGTCAGCTATTTCTCAAAATTTACATATTATACTTAAAGTCTGATATCAAATGTGAATAACTTCCAACTGCTCTGAAATTTCCCCCCTCGGTGGCTTCTGTATAACTGAAGGACTTCCCTGTGACTCCACAGGTATTGATAATGAATGGAGAAAGACGCAATGCATGCCACGTGAGGTGTGTATAGATGTGGGGAAGGAGTTTGGAGCAGCAACAAACACCTTCTTTAAACCTCCATGTGTGTCCGTCTACAGATGTGGGGGCTGCTGCAACAGTGAGGGGGTGCAATGCATGAACACCAGCATGGGCTACCTCAGCAAGACGGTAGGTGTCTCCTCTCTCAGCTCCACCCGGGCGCCCCTAGGGAGGACCATTCTGTGCGAGGAAGGGCCTTAAGTTTCCGGTTGTATTAAAGTAACTTAGTTGGAGTCAGAGTCGCTTACATTTTCCTTGGAGAATGGAGTAAATGTTTCAATATTTTGTGTTTTTAATGATACAATATCACAAAGAAAGTAATTGATGCTTTAGGAATTATTTTCATATAGTGGAGTCAAAGCCTGATGGAGAAAATAATAAGTATACATGTACATACATATATGTATACATACTGTGTATATGTGTGTTGATCATCAAGAATAGATTTTCACTTGACATAAATCAGTTTTAAATGGTTAAAACTTCTTTCTGATATAGTACAGTTTCCATATGGCAAATTTATAAATATATCCATGTGTTCTGCCAAACAGTGGTGTAGTGTTGAAATAAGCCAACAAGTGAAACAAATTTATGTGTTCCTTTCAACAGCAATGGAGATAATTCTGACATTAAATCTTAAGTATTTTGAGTAACCTGTAAAGCCCATCACATTAGATGTTAAGCTGCTAATAAATAATAAACTTATCTTACAGGTGGGTTTGGATCATGGTTTTTCAAAGCAGACACACAGGTGTGCATTACAGGTCTTAGGTGGAAGAGGAGGTTGGCTGTGGGAGGACACTCTTGTGTGCTGATGGGACCTGTGGGTGTGCTGTTTGCAGTGTGTGTGCCGCTGGCCTCCATACGAGTTGGAGTGGTCAAGTGTGGCAGGCTGGCCAGTGCACACTTCTCCCCTAAAGACAAAACTGCAGTTGTTATAATAGCTTTTCCAAGCTATTTTGAGTTAAACTGTCATCAGTTATCTGGCTACATTCAAGATTATCCTTTGACCATTAGAATGAAAAATGAAATGTTTGAAAAATATGATGTAAGATTTTATTTATGAGATATAATGACAGCAAATTTAATTCTATACACACATTAGCTGATCTCCATAATCAGAAACTTACTGTACAGTATAGCGTAATGGAAAATTAAGATCACTGCTGTAATTCCTCCCACTGCATGTGCCACCTAGTTGGAAATTAGTCTTTAAGACTAACTTAAAGATGTGTGCAAAGGCATTGGGGCAGAGAGAACACAGTGGTTCCTAAGACTTGAAGAAGCCTAGAATACTGTTAACATAAAAAATAAAGGAATAGTTATGTTAGAGGAAGATATAGGCCAGGTATTCAAAGCTATGATAAAGATATAAGATATATGATAAAGATATAAGACATGATAAAGAATAAAATTGCTCTTATTCTAAAAGCAGTGGAAAGCTGGGAGTGGTGGGAGCACATGCCTGTAATCTTAGCACTTGAGAGTTTGACGCTCAAGAATCAGCAGTTGCTTAGCTGTAGTGGGCAACTTAGAGATTTAACAAAATCCTGTCTTAAAATAAAAAATGAAAGAGGCTATGCATGTAGCTTAGTGTGAAGGCCCTGGTTCAATCCCCAATACCACAAATCAATTATTTTAAGAAGCAATGGGAAATCATTGAAAAGCTTTGATGCTGGTGACTGAGAACATCAGACTTGAGTTTCTTACAGTATCATTCTGGGGATGTTGTGAAGGATACATTTGAAAGAGGAAAAATAGAACAGACAGGATGTTATACCATTAGTTGGGAAGAATATCAAAGGGTTTTGTAGTACTGTGAGGGCTGGAGACATGGAGATTAAAGATGCTGAGGGAAGAGGGATTAACATTTGTCCCAAGACACCTCTCATCCAACTCCATACCCTCTCCTATGTCTCATCTCTTCTTTTTGCTCTTCAGAGGACTGACTTCCAAATCTTTATCTTTAGTTTAGACTTCACTCATGGTTTCCACAACACAGTGCTACTGAAATTTGGCTCTCCCCCAGACGGGTCACAATCAGTCTATCCTGTAATGGAATAACAAACTCTCCCCTCTGCTCCAAATATACAAACCAGCAAATGAATCCTTTTGGTCTCTGTTATTGTCTTTGTTGTCTGTTTCCCCAGTATTCTCTGTCTTAGTAAATGACACTGACACATATCCATTTAGGAAAGCTATTTTATTCTTTTAACTAAAAGCTGTTAAGTAACTACACCTTCCAGACATCTCTAGAACACAGACAGGATCTTCATTCTGCTGATCCTACTGTGGTGTGGGTCACAATTTATCTCTCACCTGAAGCACTATCCCTGGACCAGCCTAATAAATGCTCTCATGCCTCCATTTTTCTCTCCCTCCAATATATTTGCACATTTTAGTTGAGAGTTCCTAAAAATGTCTCAAAAGCATTGCATTCTGAGACTGAGTCAGCACTTAGCCACTATATCCATAAGCTGGTTTTTGCTAGGTAGGTTGTTCAAGCATGCATCTGTAGTGATTGGTGTAAATGCACTAAGTTGTTAAATACTTTGAATGGCAGCCTTCTTTAAGACCAAAATCCATTCACGTGATTTACTGGTCCTTCCATGGTTTGACTTCTCCGTAAATCTCTAGCTTCATTTTTCACAGTCCTTCCTCTCAAAAATTGCTTTCTATCAGTACCCACATTTTTTTAGCTCTTAGATTTTTCCTGCATCTCTCACTTTCAAGTCACTACAATGCTGTATTCTGTGTTTGAAACATTTCCTTACCCATGATCCTCAGGTCTCCATTTATCTAGTCAATTTCTACTCATCTTAGGTCTAGACATAAATGTCACTTCTGTTACATCCTCTTGTATGTCCCTGTAGCATCCTCTGTTGTCCATATTTTAACATCATTATATCATCTGTCTGTCAGATTGTCTTATTCCCCAGGCTCTAATTCCATGAAAGTAAAAATGGTGTTTGTCTTTTAACCTGGGGCATAGTGTAATAGTTGGCACAAAGTAAACACTTAGAACTGAATGGAATGAATACTTGACTGAAAGGAAACACATCCAAGATCAAAGGTAGAGTTTTAAATTTACCAATCTTGAGAGTTTGAATACTGTTTCAGTGCAGATACCAGAAGAATTTTGGACATGTGATTCTCAAATTCTAGAGAAATGATCAGGTCTTTCAGTATAGAGTTGGGAGTAAGCAACTTATTGATAAGTGTTTTTGAAGCCTTAATGCATTTGTTAACAGAGAATTCATTTACCAAGAAAGAAGAGCAAAAGCTAATATCAAGGAAAAGCCAACATTCATTATTCATTGTTCTGTTCATCCTTTCCTTCAATTTTGTAATAGTATATTTTTCTGCTCTAAGAATTCACTGAGATTTTTTTTGTAGTAAAAGAATAATTTTAATTTAAATTCAGCTAAGGAAGTTATCTGTGTTTTGCAATAGATAAACAGTGAATTAGAGATACTGCCCTAATGGAGAAAGCCAGTGTTTATCAAGTAACTAGTAGTGTATATGTTGTGAAAGGAAAGAACAAAAGTTTATGGAATTGCATTTAAGGAGGCTTACAAACCAACGAGAGGGGGGGAGGCATGCCATCCCTGATGACACAAGGCATGCTTCCATTGTTCCTAATGCAATTTGTAAAAGCTCATACTTAAGTAACACCTTTTTCTACATTTACTTAAAGAATTATATTATCAATGCAGTGTAAATGGGAGTGTGTGAGGATTTCTTTCAAATATAAAAGGAAGTTTCTTAATACCTAATTTTCTTAAAGTAAAAAATTTTCATTTTCTGTTAGAAGTTCCAGACATATGTTTTAAGTCACTAGTTGAAATCAAATAAATTGTAAGGATAATATAACTTAAGTAATGCTCTTTTATAAATACTTCATAGAAATGTCTTTTAGAGAGCTCAATGAAAGGCAGGCTATCAGAATGTGTGAGGAAGTCAGCTGCTAGTTGGAAAGTGAAACCATATGCTCTAAGCATTCCAAAGTGAAGTAATCAATAACAACTGCTTCAAAGTCTGCTTCTACAATAATATCTAAGTGGCTTTGAAAACTCACTTGATTGGATGTCTTCTTGACCTCTTTCATAAACACATACTTTAAATGTATTTTCTTATAAGAACTTGTATATTTAGGAGATAAAACTAAAAAATAGAAAGGAAGTTTTGTAGAAGGTAAGGTATTTGGTGTTGAAAATTGAAGCAGAAGAAAGTCATCTGCTTTTAAAAAATCATCTGCCACATATATGGATTGAAAAGTTATTTGAATGTTACTTTTTTACCTTATGTATTTTACTAAAGATAAGAATGAACACAAAAAATTCTACTAAGTCCATGAGGTCTTGTTAGAAGTCCTGGAGTTAGTACTCAAGAAAATAAAATATATTTGCAAGGTCTGAAGAAAGCAGCATAGCTTCCATGAACTATTCATTAAAAGTTCCACATTTCTGTATCAGAAAGAACGAGCTATTTCATTTTTTTCATTATTTTACAAAGAAATAATAAATGCATACATATTTCCAAAAACACTTCCAATTGTGATTGATTTAAATTGAGTGTTTAAGCCAGGGATGTAGCTCAGTGGAGCTGCGCCTGCCTGGCAAGAGCAAGGTCCTGAGTTTGATCCCTGGTACCAAAAAAAATTGAAAAATTAAAAAATAAATTGAGTGTTTATGAAATTTTACAGCAAAATATATGTAAGCTTAAGTAAAACGTAACTATATAATAAATTTAGGAAGTATTATTTTGCACTTCAGTCAGAGATATTTCTTCTATTAAATAGAATGCTTTGGTAATCAGAAACATTAATTTATTCCACTCAGCCAACAGAATGTGATTTGTATTGAATCTTTAGCAAATTAATATTTGGCAACCACAGTTGTTGGGAATCATGTTTAATCCTGCTGTGGAAAAAGAACTCTATTATCACTAACAAACAGTTATCAGAAATTTCAGGAAGAATAACACTTGCCTTATGGAAATAATTAAGGCATCTATGAAAAATACCACTTTTATACAACTAAAAGTACTAACGATATTCACAAATTCTGTTCAGTGTTTCTAAAACTCCTGAATTGAGCTTTTAACTTCAGTTGTATCTCTGAATGTGT